ATACATATATCGTATATATATATATATATATATATATATATTAAATAAATACATATATATATAACCAAAATAATAACAAAACTATTACAAATTTAATTTACAGTATTTTAATTTCCAGTCTTTTACTTTTCCGTACTTTAACTTTATGCAAATATACATTCCAACAATTTAATTCAAGTCATTTATATTTCTGTACTTTCATTTACAGTCTTTTACATTCTCGCAATTTAATTTATGCAATTTACTTTTCCACATCAGTTATTTATTTTCCAACATTTACATCATTCGCGAGAAGAAACCAACGATGATGGGCTAAACACCTTACCTTGGGGTGTAAGGGAAAATTAAGACCAACGCTGATTTGAAAATACAAAGGTGTCTTTAAGATAATTCAGTTAAAAAAAAATGAAATGCTTATTCTTTTAATGTAATTTGTTTAATTAAAAATAGTTATCTTTAAGATAATTTAGTTCAAAAAATAAGGGGCAAAGTTTTTTTAATTAAAAAATAAAATGTCAAATAAAGTAGTTATGTGATTTTTCTGGGTTAAGAACGAAATAATCAAATTTTAAAAGTTCAATATTTTATTTATAATTTTTTAAAAAACTTAATTATTGAAAATAAAATTCAGTGGTCTATTTTTTTAATAAATTTAATCAAATAAAATACAATTTGTTTGCTTTTTAATAGATCCATTAAGAGATATCTACTGAATCGTTAAGAGGTCAGTATTTATTTGACAAAAAAAAGTCTGTCTCTTAATGGTTCTAAAATCTTTTGAATGATTTTGTATTCTGGGCCTCCCTTAACGACTCAACATCATAATTTCATTGTAAACAATTAACAAACATTTATATTTCAACACTTTGCACCATATAATGAGAGGCTCTTAATTATTATGACCACTTAATCATTACCAAACCATTAAACAACTGATAAACAACCCCTAATAGTTTACTGGACTTTTTACAATATAATATATATGTGTATAGAAATAATATATCTGTAGTTTATTTTTTGATTTAATAAAATATAGTTTACATATTCTTCTTTCATATTAAACATTAATTTATTATTATATATATAAAAAAAAATTCAAATAAATAGTATTTTCGGTATTTTCCATTATATCATTTTCAATTTATAGCCTATATTTTAGAAACTAAATAAACATATTATAATAGGTTTGTTTGGTAATTGTCGAGTGATTTGGTGCAAAATGATTAAGTAGTTAGAGTGATTAAGAGGTTTTCATAATATAGTGCAAAATGAAATATAATTGTTTATAATGAAATTAGGACCCTGAACGGTTAAGGGAGACTCAAAATATAAAATCACCAAGAGGATTTTAGAACCATTAAGAGGTAATTTTTTTATCAAACATGATTTATCTCTTAACAATTTAGAGACTACATTTTAATAAAACCATTAAAAAATAAACAAACAATCCTTCTAACAAATTACATTATATCTGCGTCAATCAAATATTTGATCAAATTTAATAACATTTCATTTTAATTAATTAAAATAAATATTTTAGGAATGAACGCCTCCTCAGACCTCATGTAATGATAGGCATATAGCCGACCCTATGGGCTTTTTGGGAATTTCACAAAAATTAGGGGCTTTTTCGTAATTTCAGAAAATACGTCCACGGAAACATGCCCACCACGTCATTCCGTCAAATAGACGTAGCATTGTCTTTTCTAGTCTGCTCCCTCTTTTACATCTCTTAAAATACCGAAACTGCCCTCAACCCCACCTAAAACCAGTCTCCCTTTTTCTTTTGTCGATCGAACTTCACGTTACCCCCTCCACCTCCTGCCGATTCGCCGATCGAATTCCGCCACCAATCGCCGTCGATGACTCTCATGACTCCGCCACCTATTGATGTAACGACAACGATGATGTTATTTCATACGCACATATTCATATATACACACACTAATTTACACTCATTTACGCACATGCACACGCAATATATATCTATAGGCGTACGTCTGTATCTGTATTTGCTGCTTGAAGTTGCTTAATTACACTCTTTGATCTGTTTTTCGAGTTTCGATCTCTAAAACGATCTTTTATGAATGTGAAGTATGATCTAAAAGGGCTCCTGTTCCGTGTCTTCCTTTTTTACTATTTCTGGAAAAATGTTTAATTTTTAGGGTTTTGAATTCTGAGGATCAGGAAGTGCGTAATTAAATGTGACTAGATCCAATTTGTTTATTTGTGGAGTTTAATCTTGCAGCCGGAAGAGGACGAGATGCTAGTCCCACATTCTGAATTTGCGGCCGCTGAAGGACCTCAACCAATGGAAGGTATTGATGGCTGTGTAATTGGATTGATGTTGGTCCTCATTTTTTCTTTCAAATTTGTGTCTATCTTGTTTATGCCCGTGTAGGGATATGTAATTTGATCATTGGGTTGTAGGGATACTTCTTCTCTAAGTAAATTAACTTGTGTTGCATCCATTTTTTGGTAGTTGCACCTGCAGAAGCTACTAATACAGTTGATGCACCGGCAGTTGATGATCCACCATCAGCACGGTTCACATGGACTATAGAGAACTTTTCGAGATTGACCGGCAAAAAGTTGTACTCTGAAGTGTTCTTTGTTGGAGGATATAAATGGTATATTTGTCTAACCAAATACTTTGTTTTCCAAGTGTGCAGTAATAACTTCTCACTAAGACATGATTGTGGTGATTGGTTTATAATATTCTGTTCACATGGTGTTTTGCGTGGTTAGGCGAGTGCTCATATTCCCAAAAGGAAACAATGTAGACCATCTATCGATGTATCTTGATGTTGCCGATTCCTCATCATTGCCATATGGTTGGAGTAGATATGCTCAGTTCAGCTTAGCTGTGATCAATCAAATTCATAGCAAGTTCACCATGAGAAAAGGTAAGTCTTTTATTGTCTCTTTTTAACAAACTAGACAATTATTGACAAAAAGGCATTAAGACGAAATTCACTTTATTTAGACAAAAGGGCTTCGAGACGAAATGCACTTTTGCAAGAAGCTCCCTTTAGTTTCATATGAGGGAAGCTTCAAGGATAATTCAATTATATGATGATTGAGAAAAGAGAACTACCATAAAGATGATTAAACCATTTTACTTTGCCTTGATAATGTGTCTGATCCGCAAACATGGAGATGTGGTCAATGACAAGCTGAATTTTCATATGGATGCTCTCAACATTGTATTTGTAGTTTGTTGACATATTATGTTTATCTTCGACATTTGGAGTTTTTTTATCCTTTGCAAAAACAGAACTTTGCTTCACAAATGCACATGGATGTTTTAATATTTATGCTGCCAATAAAGTCCAAACACTGGTGCAAATTCTAAAGTGGATCAAGATGGTGGTTTTCCTTCCATTTTACATTTGATGTCTTGTCTTGTCTTAACAATTTATTTGGTTATCTGGTCATCATGGCCTCATATATCCAGTATTCTTGTTGGATGATTTAATTGGAGAGAACTTGCCTGCTTTTAAAGGTTTTAGCCAATGACAACAACTTCTAACAATTTTGACATGTATGTTTGAGCAATATTTTATATTGGTACCCCCTATTTCTAGAACCCTTCCACCAAAAGATGAAAGACTAATAGAACGAATATAAGTTAAAAGGGCACCTTGTTAGTATGTACTGCTGTAATATGTATGGCATTCCTTGAAATGAGTGAGTGACGATGAAAGGGCAAAATCCTGGTCACTAGTAGTGTCTTTTATCCATGATAGTTATCCTGCAGAAATTAAGTACCACTTCATCAATCTTTTGTGCTGTAGAGAGTAGAGACCCAATATGAACGGGGCCAGCAGACTGTGATAAACAAAGTGTTTGTAGTTTGTTTGGATAGAGGTGGATTGGGGTGCTTACTTGTTCTGTTGATGCTTGTGAAGTTTTTTGGAAGGGTGTCCCAGGCTATGCCGAAACTAATCCTGGAAAATTGTGACTGTAAGACATCAACCCTGATAAACTCAGTGGACACACAACTGTTGTGGATGCCTGGAATCGAACCCCGGGAAAATGGGATATTCCACCGCATCTCACTGGCCTCAACCACTACACCACAACCCTTGTGGTTGATGCTTGTGAAGTTGTCGAAGACTATTTATTAGTCATAAATTGGCCATTCTTGGAAGTTATTGCTAAGGGTGAGAGGTAAACAAAGGTGACACAAAAAGGTGATTGACCCCAAAAAGGCAAGCGTTATCTTTATTGGAAATAGTGAGCTTTCACATATCATATGTAAGATGCAATCATGCCAATTTATTTGATCAAAGATTTTATTAATATGAAAAGCATGTTGCCTTCCACATATTAAATAATAGAAGATCCAAAAACATGTGTAGATTCAACCTAGTGTGAGCATCTATCTCCAGTAGTTTGTTTCTTGCCATGTGCCATGCTTTAGTGATTTCTTTTTTCTAGTTCCAAATACAATCCAACTTTATAAACCCGTGAAATTTTGATGTATTTCATATTTTTTGGAACTTTGAATTTGGTAAAAATACTTGTGGACTGTGGTCACCTCACCAAATTCAACCCAACTTTGCACCATCACCTAGACATACCATATGCTCACTTAGGATACTCAAGGTTGGATGGCTTTGCCTCACCTCTCGCTTGAGGGGCTCACATCCCACCTTTTACAACTATACGTCCAAGTTGGGAAATAGGCACAATGACTTGTATCTATAAAGATAATATTTAGTTCTCAAAGTCCCTAAGGGAAAGAATCAAACAACTTCCGGATTGGCTACTTAATGTTGTTGTGCGGCATGGCAGCATGCAATACTTTTGGAACATAGATAACTAGATTTTACTATGCATTTGATTATTGGAGGCACTTTATAAGGTTTTTGGGATAACAGAGAAGTTTTTGAGATTCCTTGTCATATCTGAGTTGTTTTCTCATGGAAAAGGATTGGGAAGTGCAAAGCAGTTCCAAAGCTATTACTTTTTTGTTTAATGGAATGCCATGTGAGAAACAATTTTAGTATGTCTAACCTGATAAAAAAGGAAGAGAGCGGTGAACTAGTTTCTACAAGTAGTAACTTATTGTATGCTGTTAATTGTGGTGCTATTGCAGTCCTAGGAAACATAGCAGTGCTAATCACCCTAATTGGCCTGTGAATTTGATTTGCAATAGCAGTGTGAAAACTCGCTATTCCTCTCTCATATCTTCTGTTCCGGCATAGTGCATCTTCTACTCCTCCGCGTCTTTTGATTTTCGCTCGACATCCACAATCATCTCCCAGCATCCTCTGATCTTCATCTCTTCTATTCACGTGCTATTCTGCTTGTGTTCAATATATATATGTATGTATAAAATTCATGTATACTATTTAATGTATATATCTATGTATAATTCTAATTATTATAAGAATCACTATTATTGGACCGAGATAACCGCTATATTAGATCACGGTCCTGACTGCTGTTTCAGATTTTGACCGTTGTAATAGCATAGCTTATTGAATCCTTTGTTGTAACTTATGGTTCGTTTTCATGGGAGGTTAACAAAGGCTATTTTCTTCTAAAAACTCATGAAGTGACAGAGGCGGTAAAAAAGTTTCATGTCGTGTACTCAATCTGAAGGGTATATGATATGATGCTAAGAGAAGGGATGTGGTGGTCTTTTGACCTAAAGGTATGTAGGATATGAATGTACAGTACTGAGATAGGAAGCATGCATCAGCAAGAGAAATATTCTTCCTATAACTATATTATCACACCCGTGGTTAGTCTAGTGTCATTGCTTGATTTATTATGACGTAGAATTTATGCCGATGATGTACAGTTTATGCTGATGGCGTAGTGTTGATTGATAATACTAGAAAATGTCTTCATGCAAAGTTTGAAGTTTGGTCAAATAACATGGAATCTGGGGTGGAATAAACAGTAGGAAGTGCAACTTAGTTATGTAGGAAAGTGCAGTCAGCATATACAGACAAGTAGCTTTGAATGATATCTCTTGTTATTTGAATCAGTTGGGGTGAAGAGATTGATGATGTTGTTATTCATAGGATAAGAGCGAGGTGGATGGAATGGTGACGAGCCTCTGTTGTCTTGTGTGATTTGCATGCAATGGAACTGTGATTAAAACACTATGCTGTTACTGCAGTCAAAATACAAAATATCGGTCAGGACCGATATTCGATATTTCGGTTATATTTGTGATATATCGGTCCAAAATAGCAGTTAATATATATATATATATATATATATATATGTATGCATCCATAAACATATCATATGCATTAATTAGAGTTTAGAAATATAGTTTCAAAATTAAAACATCACATAAACAAGGCTCACAAAACAAACTAGGAAAAGTGTTAAAAAACGAGCTAAACTCAAGCAATAGGTTCGGCATCCGAGTCGACATCATCTAATACGTTCACTTCTTCGTTTAGGTTAGCTTCCCAATACATGTGTTGACTGGTTGACCAAATAAAGAGGCCCAAAAAACTAAGCCCAACATGTAATAAAAAAAGCCCAAACATTTGCCTTATAGAAAATCGGTATATCGGACTGATTTTTTCATCAAAATATCTGTGAAATATCGATAAATATCGGCGATATTATCGGAACCGATATTTTGACCGATATTTCACCACCGATATTTTTCCAGAGACCGATATCCGATGTATCGCGATTTTAACAGCATAGTTCAAACATGAGTTAGAAGAGTGTTTGGTGAGTGGATCCAGATCTGCATGCAATTCTTGTCCCCTGAAGTTTTCTGACTTGCATACCTCTAAAGTATATGCATGAGCTGAACATAGAACATGGTGAATTATGGTGCACCTAGCGTTAGAGGTAGCAGTTTTGACTCATTCACTTAAAAATTCATTTGTTATATTTTATCTCTAATGAGTCAAATGGAAAAAATAAGAAAAATAGCTAAAAATGAAATGGGTCAAATTGGTCTAAAGTCACTCAAACTGTATTCAAATTCTTACAACATTCTAAATCGTTTTATAAAAAAAAATAGGTTATTTATTTCAATAATTTTTTTTGCTGTCACATTTAATACATTAATTTTTTATAAAAATAAAAAAAAGGCAGGTCAAAGGAACCAACCCAACCCGTTTTGACATGAATCTGTTTGGCTCATTATCCAACTGGTCCGACCCTCCTATTTTGCCACCTCTAGATTCTAGTTATCCTGTTTGACTGGACCAAGTTTCATTTACTCATTACCAATCTCTCTTCAAGAATAAGCATGACCTTTTAATCAACTAAACTTTTGCAATTATAGCTTGAGCAGTTAATTGACTTAGAACTTGAGTTGCACTGTGACTGTTTTGGCTCTTATGGGACACATGCTTCTGCTACTATTGAAGGACATACAGTTCTGGATGCTAAAACTAAGAGAATAGGTTACCATATTGGTTTCATCATCGGAGCCAGATGGGCATGATTGTTTGTAAGTACGAGCATGGTTTTGAAAAGCACAAGAGGCGTTCTAAAATCGAACTTGACTACTTGAGCTGGTGCCTCTCAAGGCCTGGACGAGACATACGCCTCGGTTGCCTGATGCGGTGACCGAGGCGTTGAGGATGTGAGGCAGTGACGAGGCGTAGCACTTGGTTGATCGCTGTCCTATTTTATTTATTTAATAAAAGACTAAAAGTAAAACCCTAAACTGTATTCTCACGAGGCCTATGCCTTTGTTAGTGTATATATTTTGTATATACATTTATGTATATATTTTCTGACATTCTGTCCAGCAGTCAAGTACTCACCTACTTGGTACTCCCTTTAGTAAGTATATATCTTGGATGGTTGATATTGTGTCCACGTCCTGTGTATAATGTATATGTATATATGTCTGAGTATAATGTGGCATTGGAATGCATATTAGTGTGTGTATATATAAATTTTGTGTATAATGTATATATATATATATATATATATATATATATATTCATGTCCAGTGTATATATAATATATTCTGTTTGATATGGGATTATGTTTTGCACGTTATGAGTTTTATTTGTTTTCCGCCTGGAGGATTACGCTTCGCCTCCCTGAGGGAAAACGCCTTGCCTTACATTTCCATACTTTAAAACCTTGAGGAGGCAAACATAAATTTGTGTCTTTGGAAGTGCTAATCGGCAATTTGACTAGGATGTTCTGCCTTCTGTTGGTGTTTGACGATCAAAAACATTGTTTACCTGAGATAGTTATTGTTTTAACCAGGTAGTCTTAATCGTTGTTTAGTGCTGTTTGTTTTTCTTTTAGTTGGAAATTGATCTCTATCACAGACTAGGACTTTCTAAGTGATGGTCTCTTTAAGAATATCCCATGTTCTTGTAATTTATAGAACCTTTTAAGTTTTAACTTGTAAGATGGTGATACCGATATATTCTTATATGGATTTCAGTTGCTACATTTTCATTTGAGCATAACTTAGAATGGATGGACAATTTTGAACCCACTGCCATTGTTTCACTGGGATTCTCTGGTTCCACCCTCGCCATCCTTTCTCATTTCCATATCCAGTATAAAAGTGAAACATGGTCACTGACAAAATGATCACTGCCTCTGGCTTGCGTTGCATGTGTGGAACATAAAATATAGTAATTATTTTAGACTGAACTATTATTTTATATCGTAAGAGTACAACAAAGCTAATTGGGTAGTAGGGATGAAGACTACCTAGACATACACAAAATTCTTTAACAATGCACATACATGCTATTATGTGTTTTTGTGTATGTTGCACAGCTTGACCATTAAAGCATGGGCAAGGTAGGAAAATGAATTTTAATTTAATATTGGCTAGAAAACTGAGGTTAGATGAAAATTTCTTAACACCAAAAGTGGTATGAAAAAAATATGATTCATATTTGATTGCACTTTTATCATCACACTAAGAGAAAGAAGGGAAATAATTTTTCCATATGTTCTAATTGTTGCTCCAATCTCTTCTCTTGTTCTCATTATCACTAAAGTCTTGGGTTGATGATAGTTGACTCTTTTCACCTTTCAGATACCCAACATCAGTTTAATGCACGGGAAAGTGATTGGGGCTTCACTTCATTTATGCCTCTTAGTGAGCTATATGACCCCAGTAGAGGCTATCTTCTGAATGATACATGCATAATTGAAGCTGATGTTGCTGTCCGGAGAGTTGTTGATTACTGGTCACATGACTCGAAAAAAGAAACTGGTTATGTTGGGCTTAAAAATCAAGGTGCTACTTGCTATATGAACTCTCTCCTCCAGACGTTGTACCATATCCCTTATTTCAGGAAGGTTGGTAACTATACCCCGTCAGTCGATGCTCACTGATAACATTTGGAAGGCACTTATATTTACCTTTTGAACCAGGCTGTGTATCATATGCCAACAACCGAGAATGATATGCCATCAGGAAGCATTCCTTTGGCTTTGCAGAGTTTATTTTATAAGCTTCAGTATAGTGACACCAGTGTAGCCACAAAAGAATTGACAAAGTCTTTTGGCTGGGATACATATGATTCTTTTATGCAGCATGATGTTCAAGAGCTCAATAGGGTTCTTTGTGAGAAGCTTGAAGACAAAATGAAGGTATTGGATTTTTCTAATACCAAAGTTCGATGTCTTTACTCTCCTTGATGATACCTAATTGTGGTGTTACTGTGAAGGGAACTGTTGTGGAGGGTACAATTCAACAACTATTTGAAGGACATCATATGAACTTTATTGAATGCATAAATGTGGACTACAAATCAACAAGGAAGGAATCCTTTTATGGTACATATCTTCGTTTAACAATGACATTTTATTCATAAATCTCTAGGTTCTTACTAAGCTTCATATACTTTATCAGATCTTCAGCTTGATGTCAAAGGCTGTCGTGATGTCTATGCCTCTTTTGACAAGTATGTGGAAGTGGAGCGACTTGAAGGTGACAACAAGTATCATGCTGAACAATATGGGTTACAGGTTGGATGGATTTCTTCTGAAATTTGTTTTATTTATTATCTCTTGGAGTCCCATTCAAATTTTGGTGATGGTGATGGTTTAAGAAGTCACAGGTTGAATGATCTCCAGATTTGGCATAGGAATGCTGATTACTTGTTCAATACTGAAAAATTATACTTCCTCTCTAGATCATCTATGATGGAACTACCAACAAGTAACAACTGAGAGGACTTTTAATAATTTCATGATAAGCTCACAACACTCACTGTAAAAGGCCTTGACACCATACTAGTTGAGGTGGTACAATCCATTAACATGACCGGTTTATTCACTTGAGTTACTTAGCTGTCATATTCTTTTATTGACACTCATATCTTAATCTAGGATGGCATTTTGTTTACTTTCTTTGAGTATGATGTGTTTTGTGTTTGTCATTTCTCACAAACAATCCTGTAAATATGGACTTTCAGGATGCAAAGAAGGGTGTTCTGTTCATTGATTTCCCCCCTGTTCTTCAGCTCCAACTAAAACGCTTTGAATACGATTTCATGCGAGATACAATGGTGAAGGTTAGTTACATTTAATCTGCAGGATAGCTACTTTATTGTGCATCATTTATGTTGCCTGGCATTTTTTATATGAGACACTGCCTACCATGAATCTAGGACGCTTCTGGTAGGTCAAAGTGGCAACTGTTGAATACTGTGAGATCAGTGCTTTACATAGTCGTAAAGATGATGGGGTTGCTATATTCGTGGGTCACATGCTAGGATTAGGCAAATGGTGACCCATGCCTAAGACCAAGGAGCACAAGATAGAATAGCCTCCTCCCATACCCCACAACCTTCTGAGAGCCTCATATGTTGGGCCTAATCTTCTTCATCACCAAGGAGAGGTTGTTTTTTTTGTGTGCGCGCTTGAGGAATAATGTTGCCATTTATATATCCAATAAGTTGTTAGCAATCATCATTTTGTAATTTCTTATATCTTTAGGCAATGCCATTCTATATATATCATGCAGATAAAAACACATTAAGGGGCCGTTTATAAAACGCTTACCCGGTAAGCGCTTACCGGCAAAATATAACACTATCATTTACTTACCGGGTAAGATTCTAGTCCACCAAAACAGTATCGTATGCAACAATTTATCCGGTAAGCGCTTAACGTGGTAAGAGTCGTCGCTCTCACTTACCGGGTAAGGCTCTTGGTCCTTGTCTCGCTCTTTCCAGGTAATATTTTTGGTTCTTACCATGTTCATCCGGTAAAGTAATGTGACTTTGTGTTCGCTTACCCGAGTAAGCGTTTGGTAAACGGCCCCTAACTTATGTCTACTGACCCTTTATGGGCTCAATTATTATTTTTCGTGGCAACTTACATGATCAATAAAGCAAGAAATTGAGAGAAGACCCATAGATACAAACAAACGAGAGAAAAGGGTAATTCTATGAGAACCATTAAAAGTTTCCATCCGACTCGCAACTATTAGTTTTTGTTGAAAATTCCCAAAGCGTGAAATGATTGTGGAAGATTTTGTAGAATCACAGTTGATTCTGACGTGTTTCACTTTTCTTCTGATTCTCAAATTGAAATTCCAGACTCACAACAAGCGGAATTGGGTGTTCCTTCTGATTCTTCCCACATTTCTATTGAATTGTTATTTTCATTGGTTAGTTTCTTAGTGATGCTTTCTTATCAGGAGATGCGGATGGGTAGTTGATGGAATTATACCATTATCAGTTTAAAGTCATTCTTTAATTTATGGGACTTGGTGGTGAACCATTTTTTTACTCTATACTTGCAATGATAATTGTTGTTACCGGAAAGGTATTTGCTAAAGCAGGATTCTCATTTGGAATTACGATGTGAACCTATCTAATTTGGCAGATAAATGATCGCTACGAATTTCCTTTGCAACTTGATCTTGATAGAGAAAACGGGAAGTATTTATCACCCCAGGCAGACAGAAGTGTCCGCAATCTCTACACTCTTCACAGGTACTGTGATCTTCTACCACACTTTCTTCTTGAGTTCAGATACGGATATCAGACCACTGGTCAATGAATCATTTGCTTTATGGAACCAAGGACCTGTCTGGGACTCAGTACAAGCGTGTCTCCTGCTTCAAATCTGAATCACATGCATCAAGACCATTTAAAAAACATACAATTCTTTGTGAATTTGTGCTAATACAGTGGTATAAGAATAGGCGGTATTTGATAGAGGAAGGCACTTCTCAGTGTGAACATTGCCAAAAACTTGATCAATTTTACTTTAAATGGTGATTGATGCTTGTATGTCTAACAAAAACATCAAATGTTCACCTTAAATTTCTTATTTAAATCAGCTGTAATATGATTGGTCAAAAGAAACTCATGTTCACACACTCTTTGTCCCACAACAAAGTGCATGGTTTCACCTACACACAAATTAACAGAACTACTTGGGGGTTAATCAAATGCGGAAAGATGTCTGTATTAGAAATAAATCTCATGGACCAAGATGTATCACAGCAATTTTTGTGATGAGTACCATGGGGGCATTTGGCAAAGTGGTTAATCTACTCTAAAGCTTTGAAAAAGAGGAAAGGGTGCATGCTCGACATCCCATGAAGGAAAATGTTTCACATATTGTGGGAGTGAGGGAGTAACATTAGAATTTAAAAAACAATTAAATCATGTATCATCTAAACTTCAACAACTTGTGGGAAGTAAACTTGCATATATAAATTCCTTGAGACCTTAAGCATATTGTTGGAGTGTCAAGTATTAATGTGTATTTGATTGTAATCTTGTTTGTCGAACCTGCATCTCGTAATGTGCTTGCTGAAGGATCCCTCTAAGTGTTGATTCTTTTTTTGCTATATTTTGGCTGAGCCATTTTATGAAGTAGCTGTTTTTTGGTTTATCAATGACATAGTACATCTCTAGGGTGCCTAAAAGCAGGTTTGATTTATTTCGCTGCTTTTAAGCAACCTGAAACACTTTATGCACATTTCCAATATGTAGATACAACAGGGTAAAAAACGCTATTCTCTTGACCTTTGATGACAGGAAGTTAATATGAAATTACTGACGTGGAACAATGCTCTGCAGTTGCAGTAACACTATCGATTTCTTCTTTTGTATCATTATGAAGGGTATGGGAAAGTAGGGAGTGCTAATCTTTTAACATATCTATTGTGCCTCTACACATGCTGGAAATAGATTGGAAGCTTTGCGCAATTTTAATTTGACAAGAGGCGTATCGTCAAAAAAAAAGTTTGTCAAGAGAGTGGGGGAAATGTTCATCTATGGTGATCTTGCTATCTGTAATCGGTCCTTAAATAGCTTTTAGGGTTTGTTTTCATGACCATCATTTGTATGTTGAATTGGATTCTTGTATTATTAATGTTCTGATTTATGCCGATACATCAATCTATGTAAGCTTATATTTACTGTTTTCTTTTATGGCTGTTGTTTATGATCTTACCCATTTAGATATATAGCAAACTATGATTTAGGTAAACTGAAGGCTGTTGATGGAAATCAGTTTTTTGAATATGTACACTGTTTTGATCATATAATGTTCTTTTCTTACATATTATGGTGGATATCAACATTGGTTCTAAGACAGGTTCAATGTCGTTTTTGTAGCGTCTTGGTTCACAGCGGTGGAGTACATGGCGGACATTATTATGCCTATATCCGGCCAACCCTCTCTGATCAGTGGTATGGAAACCTTGCTAATTAAGTGTCAACTTTTGGTTGTTTTTCTTGCCATGCTGGTTATACATTGGCATATACATTTTGTCACTTTTGTAATCCTCTAAATCAGTTTACTTGCATATGTTCTTTATGAGGTTGGCTACATAAGTTTGTTTTGGTGATTTGCTTGCATGTTTTTGCCATAGACATTTTATCAAAATTGTTTTGTTTATGCGGTTACTCCTACCTTAACTATTAAATGCTTTAGATATCTGGCATTATTGGTTACATGTTTCTTTGTGGTGTTGACCGACCTGAGTTTCTTGTAGGCTGAAATTTGATGATGAACGGGTAACAAAAGAAGACATGAAGAGAGCACTAGATGAGCAATATGGGGGCGAGGAAGAGGTGATTGGACAAATAACTAATATGCTACTCCCTCTGTCCCAGAACAAATGTTGCTTTAGGTCAAAACTTATACAATTGATTTCTCTATCATTTTGATATGTGGCAAATCACTATTAAAACATTGTTCGTAGGAACTAATTTTTTAGTCTCAAACATCTTATAAATAACATTATGATAAATTTTATTGAAAAATTGGAGATTTTTTTATGTGAAATTTTATGTAAAACATGTTTGGCATGACAGTTGTTTGATTAATGATTGCTGCTTCAAAGTTGAAAAAACCAAGTGGTGTATTTAATTTGGAATAAAACCCAAAGTGAACAGGCTAAAGTTATTTTGGGATGGAGCCATGCAGGTGATATTCACTTGAAGTTATTTCTTACTTGTTCTCTGTACTCTCCTGAAACAGTTACCTCAAGCTAATCCTGGGTTCAATAACTCTCCATTTAAATTTACGAAGTATTCAAATGCATACATGCTTGTGTATATACGTGAAAGTGACAAGGAGAAAATAATCTGTAATGTGGATGAGAAGGATGTAGCAGAGCACCTGAGAGTAAGATTTTCAATTTGGTGATAGGGTTTGTTGCTACTTGCTATTTTGTACCCAACAAATTATACCGACAATGACATTCCTCAATCACCTCTCAGATTAGATTGAAGAAAGAACAAGAAGAGAAGGAGCAAAAAAGGAAGGAGAAAGCAGAGGCACATTTGTACACTATTATAAAGGTTACGACTTTCCATGGCATGTTTGGAATATTGAGCTCTATATGTCATTTTGCCTGACCCGGTAAATCTATGTGAGTAGGTTGCTCGTGATGAGGACCTTCACGAACAGATAGGGAAAAATATATTTTTTGATCTAGTGGATCATGACAAAGTTCGTAGTTTCCGTATCCAAAAGCAAATCTCTTTTACTCTTTTCAAGGTACTATCTTTAGTTACTCAACTCCTTTCTCTTTTTGGCTTTTACTTTTTCACTTCTGTTTCGTATCGAGAGTGGATAGTTTCTGATTGTTTATGAAACCACCAGTTGTTAATATATTCAGGTATTTCTTGCATTGAACTATGCATATTTGATGCTTAATGTAAAGTTGAACTTGGTGGTGCTGCAACTTGCATATGGTGCTTTAAATACAATATCTCCCATTTCTTTATTTATCATTTGAATGAAATGATATGAAACTAATCAATAAATAATACAATGATTGTTAAAAAAAGTTTTTCTATATCAGCTTTGACTGCTTACATTTACTATTTTCCCTAGTGGCTTCTAGGTTGGCACCAAGACTGTTTTTAGTCTTGTATAGCTTTTATTGCTTATTTGATGTGACATATATACTGAGCTTCAAGAGTTAGAACTGCATTTATAGTCTTGATTTTGCTTGGTATTTCAGAATCCTATTGTTTTAAGCATGGTCTTTTCAGTTCCTAGACAGGTGCCAGACTCCGGAGGATGGGCTAAATGAAAGAAGGACACACCCGAGTTTATAGAAAGCCAATGCTTAACTGTAAATAAATGAACTTGCATCTAAGTGAAAGAACCGCACACCTGAGTTTACGAAAGAGAACCCTTGTCGGTACTGCAATTTGGAAGATATGCAGTCCGAGAGTGATAAATGAACATGTAAATAAATAAGTTACGCTCAATAGAAAATAACAGGTTCTGTATGCATACAGGTTGGTGCCACGAAGCCTCAAACATGAGTTCTGTTGTTAATAATTATTATTGAGCATCATCACATAAGTCAAATTGGACAGCTAATGCAAACAGAGCGGAAGTCTCAACTCAACCCAACTCAGCCTTAATTCATAAAGGACCAGGAATACTTAATACGCTTATGTGAAAGAACTTGAGCGAATGTTTACATTTTGCTGCTATAGTAAACTGTAAACCCTGCATTTTGAAAATTAAATCCAACTCTAATAGCACACTTGTTGATCATGTACCTTTTGCATATCTACTTTTTCACATGTTATATAATGTTGCAGCCTGTGATCATTCTTTATCAATAGGCTTCATTATATAATGATCCTATGTCATTCTGCTGAATATTATCCATTTGGCTGTTTGGTCAAGTGTAATGTGTTTTACCTAACTGAAGTAAGAGAGGGCTTTGGGTATGTTATGGGATCTGATTACAGAATTATGAAAAAAATTTATCGCCTCAACTGGCTCCACCCATCTAAAAGAGATTCAAATAGATTCCTAGTTCAATCCACTTTTTGTTTTGGTCACTTTGTTATAGTTTGAAAAGATTCTATTCAAATGCCATACATCTTAACATCTGATGGAAGTAGTCATGAGGGGCTGATATATTGTTAACAAACCTTTGTTAGTTCATAAGGTATCCCCTTGTATTTGCTTTTCTCTATGAGCAGAACAACTTGCATAGCCTGAAGGCATCAATGAAGACAAGTAATAAAATGTTGGGAATAGTTTCAACATGTTGTCTGCATAACCTGTATTATGTGTCTGGGACCTTCAATAATCAAGGTTAGTAGAATTAACAAGACAAAATCAAACTACTCAAGCGCTGATTAGGATTGACATGTTTAATAACCAGCATTCTAAAAACCCCATTTAAACACCTGCATACGGCTAGCTTGATTTTCACTCGTAACAATATTAAAATATTTGTCTATAGTTTGCATGTTCCAGCCTATATTCATTATGCATCATCCAAGTTTCTAGACATTTTTGGTGATTGGTGATGCTACCCTAATTGTTGATATCTTGCCTTCTTTTTTCTGTTATAAAGTTTCTTGGTAGGATTTTCTCTGCAAGTGGTTGAGACTGTGGCACATCCTTTTTTTTCTTCTCATATTCTAGATGGACCAGCATACATTGAGCACCTTGGAAATTTTTTAATACCGTGTTTCCAACCTTGAATAGAGAGTATCACTATCAAATATTCTAGTAACTTTTGAATCTTGGACTGATATTTTTCAGGAGGAAGTAGCCAAAGAATTGGGTATACCAGTTCAATATCAACGATTCTGGCTGTGGGCAAAGCGCCAAAATCATACTTACCGCCCAAATCGTCCTTTAACTCCTCTAGAAGAAGCTCAATCTGTAAGTACTTCTGAAATCTGCTTTTAAGCGTGTTTTTCGTCTACCTCAATAAACGTTTGAGTTACGAGTTATCTCTCTTCTCATGGCATGGAAAGTCAATATGATCTTAGGTTATGTACATTACGCTTCTTTCTACTTATTTAACAAGCATTCGGTTTTGCTTATGAAGGCCCACCAACTTCACATGATAGAAATACTGAACTTAGTTTGATTCTTGTCTATTACAAGTCAATTATGCTGCAGATGTTTTTCTTTGGGGATTAAGAGACTGAAGTTGCCTTTTAGTCCATTGCGTGAAGTCCACTTTTTGTTCATGTAGATATTTTTGTTATTGAATCCCTGCAGGATCAAGGAAGCATCTGCACTTTTTTCAGTACTAACAAGCACCTGTTTTGTCTATTTGTTTCTTTGTTCACAAATTAAAACAAGAGTAGATTATGTAAATTCTTCTGTTAGAAGTTACACAAATGTTTATCAACTTGTTGGAACTTTCTGAAAATGGCATCTGGAATTACTTATGCTTCTTAGTTAAAATCAAATACCCTATTTAGGTGCCATGTCAGGTTACCATGGAACTTCAGCCCTGGGAAGAAAGGGCACACTTGTATATAGTTAATATGTAGCCTACAAGTAGGAAGGCATTTCTGGTTTTGTTGCAATTCAATGCAAAGTGGTTTTCTCTAGATACAACTTGAACCTTGTAGTTCACTTGGTGTTTCTAACAGAGATGACTGCTCTGGCCTATATGTTTATTTCAGATCAGTTAAAAGTTGAGCAATTTCTGTAAGTTACTTATGCTGTTTAACTGCAACTGCGTTAGTGTTTAAAATGAATAAGCGGTTTGACTTTGGAGGTTTACACTTCAGCTGGCACATGGTTTGTTTTGGGTTATAAAGCATTGGGAATTTGTTCATTTACATAGTAGTTTGGTGATCATTAACATGTCAAATCAAACGTGTTTTTAGGTTGGACATTTGAGAGAGGTATCTAACAAGGCTAACAATGCAGAGCTTAAGTTGTTTTTGGAGGTAGAAATGGGACAGGTAATATATCATTGATAAGTATTCTTATTCGACTGTTGTCACTTGATATTTATTCAACTCCCTCTTTATTGTAATTATCAGAGTTCTATGTTATAAACATCACTGGTTTCTCCTATTGATGTAGGATCTACGACCAGTTCGCCCACCTGGGAAGACTAAAGAAGAGATTCTACTTTTCTTCAAACTTTATGACCCTCTAAAGGAGGAGCTGCGGTAGCCATTCTCTATTCTCTATATTTCTCTAAGTTTAAATGTATGCCCATTCTTTTTCTTTAACTGATTGTTAGCCGCCCACCAGCAGTGACCTACAGCTTTCTACATTATATGACATCCAAAGCCTACCATGTATATTTGAGCAGTGCTACTATGTGGAAATATGCCCTTTTTCGTTCCTTTCACATCATTTGCTGCTCATCAGCATTAACCCTTTCATCTTCTACATCTATATAAGCTCCATAGCCTACCATGTCATTTGAGCCAGTGTTTAGTAAAGTTTATGAATAATTCTGGAATGTTTTGGTGGTAGGGGTTACGTTCGAAAATATGCCAACCTGTAAATGTGAAAATGCTGAACTTAGGTGTAAGACATGGTTTAGTCAACAAACCTCTAAGTTAAGCACATCATGTGAAGGAGTGCGCTTCCTTTAATATATCTTCTTAAATATTTTGTTTTGCTGCTGTATTGTGCGTAAGTGCTTATCTTGTCCTCGCTTTCATTTTATCTTGTTTTGACATTTTCTTCTTTTTGTGGGTTTAATATTGATTAAGATGCATCAATGCATCATGTAGAAGGTACAAGTGTGGACAATAAAACCTATCCAGAAAGGGATGAAGTGACTGACTAGAACAGCAGTGTATCAAGCATGTATGATTAAGATATAGCAAGCCCATTAGTTCGCTACTTCCTACCTGACCCCTGATTGAAATAGGTGTTTGTGAAGGTAAACTTGATGGGTCAAGACTTCCACGTTAAGAGCTTAACCGTTCTAGAAGGCCAGACAATTATTTCATCTTCCAACAATATCACATGTGATCCCTGGTTGCATGTGGAGGGCCTGACTGAAATGCATTTACCATGTTACAACCAAACAAAGTGCAGCTTCCACTTGTGCGTACTAGGAGAACCGTAAGAACTGGATAGATTTGCACCTATTATTGGTGAAACTAGAGCTTTGATTTTATGTTGTATCACCAACTCTTGTGGAAAAAGGGCCTAAACACTGGTATATAGCTTCCAGAAAGACTTAGTTCTTTCATTCGTGAATAATAGATACATTGGATTATAAACTTAGCGATAGGAAAAATGCTTATGAAAGTACTCTTAAATGAAAGGTAATCTGTCTGCAACTATGCCTGAAACTGAGGACATTTTTTAGTTTCAGGCAAAGTTTATAGAGGTTATTCCATGTAATGCAAGACAAATTTTTTATGAGGCAGATGCTTAAGCTGACATTCAGTTTGCTTATTGGAGGAGTGGACCACCCAAAAGCCTTGTGCCCCCTCTCTTTGCAAAGAAAAGAGGCAAGGGATGAAAAAGATAACTAGAATACATAATGTGGATTAAGGAACTGAATAAGATGAATTTACACTGGAGGTTCATATCATTCGGTGTTCTTAGATAGTTAAAATTCACCAGACCAACCATGAGATATGAAATTGTATGTAGGTATACTGGCATGATAGTGGTTTATGACAGCTGATTAGTATCACCAACCCACTGATCTGAGAACAAAGATAGAAAAAGAATAATATTCTTTGATTGAATGGACTAAATAAATGATTACAAGCACGAACAAGTCCTTTTGGGCTAAAAAGGATTTGAAGAGAATTTTGTTCATAACTAAACAGCAATGTTGTCTTGTGCCTTAACCCCCTATAAGTCGTTCACAAGACAACATTGCTGTTTAGTTTTACATCCTTATGGTATATCTCTATCTACCCATGCTAGAGCTCCATTCCTGAAGCTGTTTTAACGTGTCAGGTATGTTGGACGGCTCTTCGTGAAGGGTACTGGAAAGCCAACAGAAATTCTGACAAAACTAAATGAGCTGGCTGGCTTTGCACCTGATGAAGAAATAGAACTGTTTGAGGTCAGTCTTTTAGTCTCTATGTGTTTTGTTATGATGTTATGCTCTGTTATGAATCATTTAGATTTTTTCTTGAATCATCCTCCTTGTCATTCAGGAAATTAAATTTGAACCTAATGTTATGTGTGAACACGTTGATAAGAAGCTAACGTTTCGGGCCAGTCAGGTATGTTTCCAAGCTAGTGGCACCTTTATTGTGGTGTTCTGATCTGTCACAATCTTTTTCATGTTATTATAGCTGTTCCTTCCTTTGATCAAGTGTTAGCAATATGTGACCAACATTTTTTTGATTTATGTGGCTTTATAGCTTGAAGATGGGGACATCATTTGCTTTCAGAAACCTCTTCAGGCTGGAACTGTAAAATGTCGCTATCCTGTTGTTCCATCTTTTCTAGAATATGTTCATAATCGTCAGGTATGCTTTGAAACTTTGATATATTGTGCCACTTTTGAAAAGAAGGGTCTATTTTGATTTTAATATATAAATTCGTTTTGTACGTCGTTTTCCCTATCATGCGTCCGTCCAATTTTGATGCAAAGGCGATTGTATTTAGATATGGCAAACATGAGATGTGCACTTCAGAAAATTTATGTTGATGATAAATTTGACTTTGCATGCTTTCCCCTCTCTGTTGAAGTTAGCATAGTATTGTGTCAGGTATTGAGCCAACAATTAAAGTTGAATAGGTGATTTGTATTCCTTATCAAGGTAGTTCTTGCTACTTGATTTTGTCCTGTATTTGTTTCCATCTAGTGTCCATACTGCCGAGAGACTCTTGGTCACTCTGTTGTAAAATAACTTGAATAATGCAAATGCATGTTAAGTTTTAGCTGTCATATCATATGCTAGCAGAAGGGCCAGAGCACTATGGATCTAAATCATGAAAAGTTCTCAAAAATACTGCATGTTATACATCTATTTTCACTTTTCCAGTTCCAGATTACTTGTTAGTTCTGCATGAAGTATGTGGCTCTATTGCAATCTTAAATAGACAGCAAAAGGAAAAGAAGCAACATTGATATTAGCTGGATGGGTGGTTATCTTCACATCATAATATGACATGAACAGAATGTCATCCTTCAGTGTCATGGCTCCCATTGTTAACATTTCAGCTTTCATTCTCATTCCTATTCTTGTACTGTGTCATTCATCCTCATTTTCTTTCTCATTCACTCTAATCTACTTGCTCTATATATTCTTGGAATTAGTTCCCCTCTTCCATGTTTTTGGTTCTTCTGTTTTGTTCCTTCAAATTGCTGTGTTTTACACCTTTCTGTTATTCAAGAAATATGCGAGTATTATTCATGTCATTGGGATATGCATTGGTAAATAAAATCTTTATCTTAGTTTTTTTGTTCTTGTAGTCAAAGTATGCTAATTTTCTGTATTTGATAGTGAGAAAAGATGTATAATATATACACAACTTGGGAAACCATATTAAGAAACTATAAAAGTAACTGGAAAGATAAACCCTGGTGATCTATTTTCAGCTAACACTCTCCCTCAAGTTGGAGCATAGATTTTAATCATGCCAAACTTGTTACAAAGATAATCAACCCGAACCCCATTTAAAGCTTTCGTGAAGATGTTCGCTAATTGTTCTCTGGTCTTCACATATGCTGTTGAGATGAAGCCTTGTTGAATTTCCTCACGTGCAAAAGACAATCAACTTAATGTGCTTAGTCCTTTCATTAAATAGAAGATTAAGATTAGATGCACTATGAGAACAACTTGATTGTCACACCACAAGTTTGCTGGTATTGAAGTTTAAAGTCCTATTTCAGTCCGGAGCTGATATATCTACATTTTCTCACTCACAGATTGTGTCATAGCCCTGTATTCTGACTCTGGATCTTGAGACAAGATTTTGCTTCTTAAGACCAAATTCCCTCAAACAAATATACAATATCCAGAAGTGGATCTTCTTTCCATTTTGCGGCCTGTCCAATCTGCATCTGAAAAAATTTAATATGGCTATGTCCATGATTTGAATACACAATGCCACACTCTGGTGGTCCTTTCAAGTAACACGGAATTTGTTATAACGCTGCCCAAATTTGGAGTTCTTGAGGGATGGCGAAGGTTGGTATTTGATAATGAGAAGAAATGTACAAATATATACACAACTTAGGAAACCATATTAGGGAACTATACAAATGATAACTAGAAAGATGAACTCTAGTGATCTTTTTTTAGCTAGGCAATTCTCTTGTTAACAAATGGCTTTAAAAAATCAGGTTGAAATCTAAGATCAACCATGCTGGGCTATTTATGCAAGGTTGATGCTGGATCTTGTGCAACAAGTCAACAACTCAATGAATCTTTGGATTTTGACTTGGATAGCCTTTTAGAGTGGACATATACTTGGGAAACAAGTCAACAACTCAATGAATATTTGCAATTTGACTTAAATCAACATGCACCCACATTAGGGGACCCATCTTTAAGGCTATCTTGACCTTGTTGCCACACTGAATTTTTCTCTTGGATACGAGGAATGAATTTCCCTAACCTCATTAGACTGATGCATGGTTTAAAAAACACTTGAGGCGTGCCTTGAGGTGAGGCGCTGGAAAATCGAGTTTTAGGCTGAGCCTCTTGTGTGTTAGTTGAGTCGTACGCCTCGAGCCACTGAGGCGAGCCTCGGGGCGTCTGAGGCTGAGGTTAGAACTTACGGTTTAAAAATTGACTTACGAACTTTACTTTTTATAACATAAGCCCATTCTCTTGTTCGTCTTCTCCTACTCACTTGCCGCTTGTAGTTCTCGTTTGTCTTCGTTAGTCTTTCCAATTTGAAGAGCGTCACGTATAAATTTTTATTTTCCACGTCTCCGAATTCCCACTTTGAAAAGTATCTGGTAGATATATATACACACACACACACACATATATATATATATATGAGTTCTCCGTGAACTCTAAGGGACTCTGATGAACAAGTGAAACAGAGTTTCTCTATAAGATAATGATTCATTCGTCAGGAAAGTTAAGGGAAACTTAAAATTTGGTGGGAGTTTGAAGAAGAGAAAAAAGGGGACCTTTTTGTAATAAAAATTCGATAATATATGCAACCAGATGAGAAGGTTACAGTCTTACTCTTTGAGTTGAGCACAAATTGGAAGTAGCATAATTTATTAGTTTGTTTTACGTAGTCAGCAGCCATTAAAAAGTAGCTAGTCAATTAGGAAAACTAATTGAGAACCATGGGAGTATGCATAAATGAATCATCTCTATTAGTTTTACGGTCTTGATTTTGTTATTAGCTGACTTCTCAATCTAGCAAATATTACATTACATATAGGTCCAGTTGTAGGTACATTGCAAAAAAGTAAAATGTGAATGACTGCATACTCTCTTTCCCTCTTTTTCTTCCTCTACACAGACAATTTGAGCATACTAGCTAGCTATACGCTACAACTCAGATCGTGTTAACTGGGTTTTTACCCCCTAATAAATTGTGTGAGTTGGTGAAAATTGGATATTTGCAATAACGTGATGCGCTAGAATTAGGTGACTTCAGATCAAGTAAGAGAGAGAAAACATCTAGTTTGCTAGGAAATCTCATAGAAATTTTTTGGATGAAAGGTGTTTTTCCTCTTCTTTTCTGAGTTCCCGTTTCATTGTGCTCTTCTGTTTGGTTACTTTGAAGTTATTTTATTATTGTTACTTTCTGTTTTGGTTTCTTTGAAGTTATTTTATAATTGTAACTTCATTCTGGACCATGCCTAGGTTGTGCGCTTTCGTTCACTGGAGAAACCCAAGGAGGATGAGTTCTCGTTGGAATTGTGAGTTCCAAAGATCTTATGGTCTTTGATTTCATCAAATGGATTAAATTTTGCCTTGTATTGTTGGCTTGACGCTCTTGCATCACAGGTCAAAACTAAACAATTATGATGATGTTGTCGAAAGAGTTGCCTGCCATCTGAGCTTAGATGATCCATCTAAAATCAGACTTACATCTCATAACTGCTATTCCCAGCAACCGAAACCCCAACCAATCAAGTACCGAGGAGTGGAACATCTGTCAGACATGTTGGCACACTACAATCAGGTTATGTATAATTATGACATTTGTATGATTAATGCCGCATATTGATAGTAACCATGCTCTCTAAGGGATCAACTATTTGAAGATGTCTTGGTGTTTGTTTCTTTCTGAGACACGTAAATAATATTTTTTTTATCTGGGTATATGTGAGTACACTTTCATTCAGTTATCCATTTTTTCTTGAAAGTTCTTGGACTTTGTTTGCTATTCCGATGGATTTGTAATCTTATTTTGTGATTGCATCAAGCACATCATCTTCAATTTAGGATTACTCATTACTTCCGTTACATTGACGAACTTGGTCACGTCCACTTTGGAGAGTGGCAGACTCTTTTATTTACTTGGTTGTTATGCTTTTGTTGTTCACAGACTTCAGACATTTTGTATTATGAAGTACTGGATATTCCTCTTCCTGAACTGCAAGGCCTGAAAACCCTGAAGGTTGCTTTTCATCATGCAACAAAAGATGAGGTAACTGCTGACTAACTTATAGCTATTATGTCTTTTGTTTTATGTTTGATTCTCATATTGCTGATATATTTGACAATTGGTAGGTAGTCATACATACCATTAGATTGCCAAAACAAAGCACTGTGGCAGATGTGATCAATGATCTTAAGACGAAGGTAAGCCTAGTTACTTTTACCTGCGGCTAATTGACCGTCACTTGCCTTTCTTTGCTATCATGTGTTCCTTAGGTCCTTTTTGGTTTCTAGGATTGGATAGGATTTGGAATCCAATTCCATTCCAATTCATGTTTGGTTTGAAGGATTGCTTGGGTATGAAATCCTCGGATTTCATTGAAATCCCACAAACTTGTTGGTATTTTACGGGATTTCGTAGGATTTGTGTATAATAATGTTTTAAAATATGTTGAAACATTTGTTTTATAATAATCAGTTAATAAAAAGATAATTTAATTATTTTTATAAATTATTTATAGAAACTGGAGTTCAGTTCCATTCCAAATCCTACAGACCAAACACACCAAAGATTCCAAATCCCTCAAAACCATCCCATCAAACCAAATGCTCTTTATTTCTTTGTCTATAGTTGATTGGTTAATGTATTGTGCAACAGGTTGAGTTGTCTCATCAAGATGCAGAGCTTCGATTGCTTGAAGTTTTCTACCACAAGATTTACAAGGTACTAGAAATCAACTCTGTAAGCTAGTCTTAGATTGGTCTTCTCGGATCGATTTATAGTTCTATTCTATCGAACTACTCATTTTTTTGCAAATTCTTTGCTATGGACCATAGAGTATTTGAGATTTTCAGTCTAGAATGTCTTATGGGCCGTTTACCTAAATGCTTACCTGGTAAGTGCTTACCTTTAGGAGTCGATATTATTATTTATTTTACCGGATAAGATTGTAGTACATCAAAAGGATATCGTATGCAATAATTTACCTGGTAAACACTTACCCGGGTAAGAGTCGTCACCCACACTTACCGAATAAGACTCTCCATCTTTATCATTGCTCTTACCGAGTAAGATTTTTGACTCTTGCCATGTTCATCCGGTAAGGAAAAATACCCGGTAAGCACTTACCAGGTAAACGTTTAGTAAACGGTCCCTTAGTAATTATGACATAAGCAGTCTGTAAGGGTAGCTTGAATGATGATGCATTGATGTCTATCTCAGCGTTGCTGGATCTATTATGACTTTAATATGAATATAACTTTTTCATTGTTGCAAATTATTATGGGGAAGGGGTAGTGACACATACAACGCTTGCATTTGCACATGCCCGGCGATGCACTTTAGACATCCCGTTTTTCCATTCCGTACATGAGATGGGTATTTTATCTTAAACTATTGATACCAAGTTGGTTTTTTTATTTAGGCTATAAAGATGATGACCATCTTTTCACTATATTCATATCACTCTCTTTGAGATTTTTCTTTCTTCCAGCCATATCCATTTTTAACTGTGTCTTTTAAGTTAAGATATGCATTCACAAATTGTATAACTATAAAGTCAACCCCACCCCTCTAGTCAAGATTGGCAAATTTTGTTTTATGAAGTTTGTTGACCTAAAAGGAAGATACATAGGTTTGTTTTCAGTATTTCTGGATTTATTTCAAGTAATTATCTACAAATGCTTATAGGCGTTCACTTCATCATATGAGTTCAGGTTGTGTACGCCAACTTATTTTACAGTTTTTTTTCTTGCACAGATGAATTTCGAGAAGTTGTTCTAAACTATGTGAACTTGTTTTTCTTTTAGATTATTATCCTGAAAATACCATATGCTCCGTATGTGTCTGCATTCTTATGCACATGTGCGCTAGTGGTAACTGCAAGTCCCTTCCACTTTTCTTTTCATCTTCTTCTGTTAGTTGATTGGGCATGTGATTATAACATGACCTTAAAGATTATACCTTATGCTTGTAATCCTCTTTCTTCTCCTTCACGAACGCCTTCATCTCAAATTTATATTAGCTTTAGGGGCTGTTTGGTTGGTTTTTCATCAACTCCTATATGGTGATAAAGCTTACTTTGTGGATTAATCTGTCTGTAATAGATTGGGAAGGTTTTTTTGGGAGGTTTTTTTCATATATGGAAGGAGCGTGTTTTTTTAATTGGAATGGGCAGGTTTGGGAAAAACTTGGCTTTCTGCATAAAGCTCCCACCTAGAAGCTTACTGAATAAGCCACTTCTCGTATCATTAAGCCACTATCTATCAGTCATGTATAGCTGACCGAATAAGCTATGAATCCCATTAAGCTCATTATGCTGCTAACAAACAGGCCCTTAGTTTTCTTAGTCGTTGTATGTGACTTGCTCTGCTTCTGAACTTCTATTTTTATATGCAGATTTTCCCCCTCAATGAAAAAATCGAGAACATTAACGATCAATATTGGACGCTACGTGCTGAGGAGGTTTGCTCTAAATATCTTAGTCTAGGCACATTCATCATACACAATGTGCAACCTTAGGTTGACACTTTTATTCTTCGTGGCACTGGTTTATAAGAGCATCACCAATGGTTTCGGCTTTTTTGCAGCTTTTTCATTTTCTCTTAGCACCACATCACCAACCTAAAAACCTCTATCAACCTCTTGCTATAACCAAATTTATTTCACTTTATTACTTTTCATTTCGTTTTTTATTATTTATTACTTTAATTAAATGATATTTAACATTAGTTAATAATTTGTTATAATAAAATAAATAATTGCAGAATTCATTACATTACTATCAAATAAACTAATTTAACGATTCATGAAGATAAAATAAACTAAACTAAACTAGATTAATAATTGACAGTGTTCACTTGTCTAACTTTCAAATGATTATATTAAAACTATAAAATTTAAGACAAACAAATAATAAACTGATATTTATATTTCAAACAGCTACATAATTTCAAATATTTGAAAATGGTTGAAAATATTAAAAAGTAACATACATTAATCGAATATAATGAAAAAATAAATAATATTTAAAACCAAAAATTAGAAAATAATAATAATAATAGTAATAAATTTAAAACCTAAAAGTAAAAAAGATCAATAAAAATGAATTTAAACCAGAAAAGTAAAAAAGAAAAATACAAAACCGGACGAGTGGCTCAGTAAACACCGAGCACTCAAAGGATGTCCTAGGTGGAGCCTACATGGCTCAACTCTTTGGCAAAACCTTTCATGGTTTCATTCTTTTGTTTGATGTCGTGCATCTCCTCCAACAATCCTTTTCAAATTAATGTAATTTAAACCGAGGTTGCTTATATATTTTGTGTCAGATTGTAATTTTTTCTTTAAAGATTTTGAGACTAGTATCCTTACAGATTCCAGAAGAGGAAAAGGACCTGGGTCCGCAGGATCGTCTAATTCATGTTTATCATTTCATGAAAGATGCCTCTCAGAACCAGGTGGTATGTATATATATATATATATGGCTTTAATGGGATGTTTATTTTTGTGGTAGCTTCTGGTTTTAATCACAATAGTATGAACTTCATATTCACATTTATATAACATTTTTATTAACAGCAAGTTCAGAACTTTGGGGAACCATTTTTCCTTGTTATTCGAGAGGGTGAGACGTTAGCTGAAGTTAAATTACGCATACAGAAGAAACTACAGGTTCCAGATGAGGAGTTTTCTAAGGTATGTATTTTCTTCTTCGTCCCTAAATAAGTGTCTGCGTTTCTATTTTAGTTTGTCCCAAAATAAGTGTCCGCTTTCAAAAGTAAGTGCCTACTTTCCAGTTCTACCCTAATTATGAGATGGAAAAAATCATTACTACCTCTATTATTATGGGTAAAATTGCCATTTAGTTGATTAAAAAGTGTAATAGTTACACATTTCTAAAATTGTGTGCCTTTTTCATTGTGGACATTTATTCTGGGACGGAGACGAGGGGGGTGACCATGAATCATTATTCTCTCAAAATACAATGGAAGATATTTATATGGAGACTGCAGTACCAACTTATTTTTCTTGTTTTGCTTCCTAACTTCTTCTGTTTACTTTTGAACCATAATGCATCAGTGGAAGTTTGCATTTCTGTCTTTGGGTCGTCCTACATACCTTCAGGATTCTGATGTTGTCTCTAGCCGTTTTCAGGTTAACGAGTTTCTTCATCTCTCTCTTCCCTTCTCATGTCTTGTGTTTGTGTGTGACACACTATGAAGTACACGATTTTCTGCACAGGCTTGCACGTTTAGCGGTATATATATAGGGAGGTTTAGGGGAAAACCCTCCAAAAAATAAAAAACTGAGGAACACCCTAGTAACCATTCATCTGTATGGTATGCACATGCGCATACAATGTTAATGCACATGTGCGTTACTTACAAATTACTTGTATGTATATGTGCATACCGTACAGATGAACGATAACCATGGTGTTCCTCAATTTTTTGTATATGTGTTTTTCCGTGAACCCGACCCTATATATATATATATATATATATATATATGTTATATTCTCAATGTGTATGTATTAACCAGATCTAGTTGGCGCTTTTGGTTTCAGAGAAGAGATGTTTATGGTGCTTGGGAACAGTACTTGGGATTGGAGCACTCAGACAATGCATCCAAAAGGTCATATGCTGCAAATCAGGTACATTAATCTTGTAATACCATAATCATGATAATGGGTGCTATCAATCCTCTTCAAAAAAAAAGAGTTCGCTTTGACTTTAAACAGTCAAACGAGTTATTTTAAACTACAAAAATCGACGAGAAATGTTTTCTGCCCAGAAGGCTTGACGACCCCATGAGTATTAGTGTATTTTGGCAAGAGATAACTTGAGACCTCAATGAGTATTAGGTTATGTTCGGCAACTAGCTGATAAGTTAGGTGTTGGCTAATAAGCTAGCTGCTACCTAATAGCGAGTTTTTATTTTGTAACCGAGGGTTTCCGGGTCAGACCAAGCACAACGACTAATCCCCTAGACTAAGCACAACGACTAATCCCCTGAGCGACCAAAATCGCTTGGAGTCAATATAGGTGAACCTCCATTGCCACAGAGGCTTTGGGAGCGCCTAGATTCAAACCCGTAAATCCTAAACCTTAAAAACCTAGTTGTTGATAAGCTAGCTGATAACCTAGTCATGTTTGGTATAAACTAGCTGATAAGTTAGATGAAAATTTAGAATGATATAAAATGACATGTTGAAAAATTAATTGGAAAAATACAAGGGACATAATTGGAAAAAAAATGTGGGAACAAGTCCTTGGAGCTTATTTGAATGCTATAAATGTTTCAGTAAGCTAGCTTATGCCTAACCAAACGGATCTTTTCAGTAAGCTGAAAAATAAATAAGCTAGCTTATGGCCTTAGAATACACACTTTCTGGAGATGGGAAGACTAAAATATTTTACTTCAAATACACAATTTCAATCTCTAAGCTATTATGGGGACGAAAAAGATCAAAAACAATGAGAACTTTACCAAGATAGAGGGCGTTTATTTTACAAACCACACTATTAGTAATAACCATACAAATGAATCTCAATCTTTCATCTATTCTAATGAATATCTCGATTGTTTTCTAATATAAAACGTTGATCATAATATATGAACTCTGATAATATTCCATAAACATCCAAATCATGATAAATAAGCTTTCAGCATTTCTATAAAATACGTCAATTAATTAGTTTGTACTTATGGGGATGTTTGCAAATGACTTGAGTATTGGTTTATGCAGAATCGACACACATTTGAGAAACCGGTTAGAATCTACAACTAGCTAAAAGAATAAGATGATCACAGCCGAAGCTGCACCAAATTGTTGGCCGAGTGGTTAACCTTTTGAAGGGTGTGCAGGCTTGAAACGAAAGGAAGCTGGTACGTAGATGTGCAATTTTTGTTGAAAATTAAAGTTAGCGAACGGTTTTTAGAAGCGTGGCGTCCCTTGTTTTGTGTAGTGATGTAGTTTTTAGGTGATGTTTTCCCATCTTCCACTCCATTGTACCTTTAGAGTATGCATAAGATTCTGGAAATGGGATGTATAGAGGTATAGATGTGTGATCTTCAACTTAAAAAGATATTTAAAGCTTGTTTTGTTTTTCTTTATATTTATTCAACAGATGATTGTATCCTTGTGATTTTTTTGATGAATATATATATTAGTTATGGATTTCTGGCTAATGCTAGTTATATATCTATATAGGGTTGGGTTCACGTTAGATCAGGTTGCTTTCGTGAGACCACTTTTTTACACTTGAAACTTCACAATAAAACATTGTGAAGGTAAAAAAAAGTCCAAACCTTACCTTCACAGTGTTTAGTGTTTTGTTGTGAAGTTTCAAGTGTAAAAAGCTGGTCTCACGAAAAAAGACTGGTCTGATGTGATCTTAAGTATGTATGTGTGTGTGTATGTATATATAGGTGAAGAATATGTGTATGTATACACACATATACATATGTTGTGTTAAGAAAACCCTGGCTATAGTTTGGCTTAGATAACCGAACAAGCTTGTAAGGCTTGGTTAGGACTCGTAGAGCTTTTTGATTAGTTTGCTCGTAAGTTGGCTCATCTTTTTTACAGTCGTAATTTCTTGTATGTTGGCGTTGAGTTGCGGGCATTTTTTTATTCCAAGCTTTAGGCTTAAACTCGAATTTAGAGAACTCATAATTTGGATGAAATATCAAATCAATTGATCATTTATTTTACACCTCGATAATATAAATAACGACTTCAATAGAAATTGGCCCGAAAAGTGATGATGGACCAAACATAAAAGCCTAAACGAAAAATTATAAAAAAAAAGTACAAAATGTCTCGAAACATGTTTAAACGACGACTTTTGTCCTTGAAAATCCTACCAAAGGCGTATTCCTCGTTCTAAAGCTTTGGATCAACATATCGTGGGCCTCGAGTATTTCTAGGGATAATATGCATAAATTTTTTCTGACGATCAAAATACACATATCTTATCAAACCTATACAGACTAGTCCCTTTTTATATGCAGACTACGACCGACTATCGGTCGATAACCAGTCTTCTCAAGGACTTATTCTTAATGACCCTTCATCCAGAAACTTTATACGATACTCAAAGGATGGGTCGGGTCTGAAATAATTGTGACAAATAAAAGTCGATAGCAAGTTAAAAATTTCCACAACATTGATGCTCTTTTTCTTCTTTTTTCGCCTTTTACGTTTCATGTCTTTAATATGATGAACAAACATAGTTTTTAACGACTTTTTTCTTTCCGTAATGAAGTAAAGCGACGTTTGGTTTGCCTAATGTTTTGTAAATGAATTGAAAACTATAAAAATAAATTAAGTTATGGGTTGGGTTCAGATGAGAAAGAGAGTTAACGTGAGAAGTGCAAGAAGAGATCTTCACCATTGGATGTACATTGATCACTTTTAATCTCATTAGTATTGACATTCAGTTAGGTGAATATGAGATTAAAAGTGATTAAGAGTTCAGATCTGTTCTCACGCTTCTCACTATAACTTTCCTTTCCATCGATCTTTCACCTTATTTTGTAAAAGGATGATGTGATATTTTTTAATACATTTTTAACAGTTAAAAACCGGTTATGATAGCCTAATTTCTAAAAAATTTGTTTACAATGAAATTAGGACACTGAATAGTTAAGGGATGCCTGGGATACAAAATCATTCAGAAGGTTTTAGAATTATTAAGAGGCAGATTTTTTTTCTCCAATACAAGATTCACCTCTTAACGATTCAGAAGTTGCCTTTTAATGAAACTATTAAGAGGTAAACAGACAACCCCTTAGACGAATAATATGTAAATCATACCGGTAAATTATCTTATTTTATTGGTCGTACGTTATCACATAAAGGTCTTATAGCATTTCATCAGTTTATTAACAAATTACTTACATTTTTTTTATTAACCTGAATATCCAACCCGCTATGCGAGCTGACTAATCCCAGGGCGACCATCTGCTTTGCAAATAGCCCGAAGTCACCACATTTGAACCTTCGTGGCCACAAGAGGATTTTTATTCCTCTTTGGATATGAACCTGAGACCTCCAGATACTTTTGACATTTGGAGTCAAGCTCAAACCAATCAAGCACCACTCTTGTGGTTCAAATTACTTACATTGCATCCACATGTCATAAAACAGTCAAGATTTTAGTTGTATGCGATAATAAGTCGGGGGACTCCAATTTGCATAAGTTGCTACAACTCCATAAGTATCAATGAACTCATGTAAGAATTCGTCTCGTTTTCCTCTGTAGGTTTCCCATGTAATCCACCAGATTCTAAAAGAGAATGCATAGAACAAGAAACCATATGTAAATAATAGTCAAGTTTCCACGGAACCAAACAAATAACGACTTCTCAAAATCGTAATACTCGTATACTAGAAAGCTAAACCGAGTTGAACTTGAACCACCACGTTCAGCATAACGGTCTACACAACTTCTGGCGCCGCGATTGGAAGTGCTACCAGCACCACCACAAGGCCTAGATTTTGTAATATCCGTTTACCGAGTGCACTTAAAAGCATAAATAAACTACTCAAATGAGCAATTTAATAGCATATCAAATCATGTAGTACCTCTGAACATCCAAAAACAATGTATCATAAGACAACCCAACTGATGACACGTGAGAAATTTACATAAAAAAGTTAAATACACCATGAGTACAAGACAATTTCATATATATATATATATATATATGTATGTATGTATGTATATGTATGGTTGGGTTCACGTGAGACCATGTTGTTTTCGTGAGACCACTTTTTTACACTTGAAACTTAATAGCAAAACGTTGTGAAAGTAAAAAACATCTAAACCTTTACATCACAGCAAAAACATTGTGAAGATTACCTTCACAGTATTTTATGTGAAGTTTCAAGTGTAAAAAAGTAGTCTCATAGGTCTCACAAAAATATGCTGGTCTCACGTGATCTCAAGTCTATCTATATATATATATATATATATATCTCTCTATGTATATATAATAATAATTAAACCCGATCAACCCGAACCCAAAACAATCTAAAACCTAAAGTTTAACGCTTAGTTTTCATATTTTTGGTTTGTCCAACATAGGGGGTGTGAATCATACGAGACAACGTGCGAGCTACTCGAGATCGACGCGGTCAATAATTGAATCGAATAGGCTCGGCCCGAACTCGAGCTTGACTCGACATATTAACGAGTCGAGTCAAGCAACCCAATACTCGACTCGAAAAGCTCGTGAGATACTCGATTATTTTATATATAATTAGTTTTGAAATATAATCAATTTTTACAATAAAATTTGTAAAATGTAAATAATAAAAATGTCTTATATTAGATTTTTGAACAAAATTTATGTATTTTTTTATTATTATAAAAACTGATCAATTATTTTTTATTAAAAACACATTTAAAAAAAGACAAAGAAAAACTATAAAAATGTTGGTGAAATTGTTCCACGTTGGAAGAAAGATGATAAAGAAATGGAGAAAATATGTTATAAAAAAAAGAAAAGAATGAAACTTTTAACTTTGCTTTTGATGATGAAGTTTGAAGTAGATCCTTTTAGTTTTATAAAAATTAAGAGAATATTTTCAAGTTTTAAAATGTATAAGAAAAGACCCTAAAATTTCAATAGATGAGCTTGATTCGAGTTTGACTTCAACCTTGATTTAAGTTGCAGTTTGAGTTTAAAAAATTGCAATCGAGTTTAGTTTTTAACTGTTTGTGAACTTTTGAGCTTGAAAAATGACTGTCAAGATCGAATTAAATATATTAATACTCGGACTCGACTCGCATCATTTAACCCGTGCTCCAACATATTTCTATGATATTGATAGAGGGACCCAATGTTTTCCAACACGACGTGCATTTATTAAAATAACAAATGTGTGTGAATACTGCTTCAAACAAGTTGAGTTGTATATATCTACAACACAAATTCCAAAGCCATTTATACTTATTAAATTGTATTCAAACCCTCTCGGACACAGAATGAAGATACCGGTGTTGGAGAAGTTCATGTTCGATGAACCATCGATTTGGGTAACGGCGGCGACGGTGGTGGCTCTGATCTTTACGGCTTACTTAGGTCTTGCAGAACTCATCGGAAATCATCTTCAGTATTCCAAATTTGCAACCTCCAATTCCGATCAAGGTATCAAGGTATCAGGCAGAACAGGTTTTTTGATTTTCTACACGCCAGCCTTCCTCGCCGGACTTCTTTCCTTCTTCGTATTTCCGGCCACCGGCGATCTCAGATTCCTTTTGCTCAAGTTTGCTGTTACTTTTCATTTCTTCAAGCGAGATCTGGAGGTATTTACTTCCTTGTTTCCCTTTGTTTCTCCACGATTTTAAACAAAAATTCGCGCCTGGGTGAAAAATGTAATTTCTTTTACTGTCTGGTGAAAAATGTAAAAAAATTTTATACAAGGGTTGAAAGTGTAATTTTTTTTGTCTAATTAGCTGGGTATGTGACTTTTGTGGACCTATGGCTATTATTTTGCTCCTTATGTCACTTCCCACCCCCTCCTCCTCACATCTTTCTCTCACTCACACCCTCACATTCATCGAATTTTTTAAATTTTAATTTTAAATTTACATTTTATACTCCTGTAATTAGATAATTAATTTATTTTATATCATTTTCTTTTAAAATTTTCATTTTACACCTTTATCAAATTAATACATATAATTATATATCAATTATAACATGTTTAAAAAATATATTTTTATTTTAATAAATTACATCATTATAATTGTCTCGTTAATACCTTCAAAATGAGTCCAATATTGAACAGTTTTTGAATTAATTATATTATTATATATTATATATAATATGAAAAAATATTTTTAATATTTATATTTTATACTTTTATAATTATTTATTTAATTTATAGTACATAATTTATTTTTTCAATTTTCATTTTACACCATTATCATATTGAAAAACATAATTTTATATTAACTAAAATTAGATCTAACAACGAAATTAACCTCTCAAGAAGCATTCTCATACCATTTATTCATCTTGTTCATYTTAACAAGTTACACTGTTATAATCGTCTCGTTAATACCTTCGAAATAAGTCCAATATTGAATAGTTTTGGACTTAATTATATTATTATATATTATATATACTATGAAAAAATATTTTTAATATTTACGATTTATACTCTTATAGTTATTTATTTAATTTATGATACATCATTTATTTTCACACAATTATCACATTAAAATAATTTTCTACTTTGAGTTGGGTTCAAATAATAGTAACCCAATATCAATCCAATACCTACGGTTTGAAAA